GCTCCTTGCTTTTGCTCTCGATTTCGCCCTGCCCGACGCATTTTCTCCTCTCCTCTCCTCTCTTCTCCTCCTCCTCTCCTCTCTCTCCTCTCCTCTCCTCTCCTCTCCTCTCCTCTCCTCTCCTCTCCTCTCCTCTCCTCTTCCTTCCTCCTCCCCTCCCCTTCGCCCTCCGCCCTTCCCACACTATTCCCGTCCCCTCCCTTCATTTTCAAATCCTTTCTGTGATATTCACAGCCTCCTTGCCGCAGTTTGCAAGCAAACTGGACCACGACGGCATCATAGCGGCAAGTCCTTGCCTGCTGGTTCTCACTGACATCTCTCATCGTCTGCGATCATGACAGGCTGCTATCTTGCTTGCGAGCATGGAGATGATGGGAGGGAGGAGAGCAAAAATATTCTCATAACCTGCCGGACTATCCACGAGACTTGGGGCTCCGTTCCTGTGCTCTTCCACAGTTTGAACAAGGGCAAGGACGCGAGCAGCAAGAAGAGGGCGAAGCAGGACAGGGCAGCGAAGAGCAAGAGCGTGTTCTCGGAGAGCGAACCATCCATGGAGGAGGAGGAGGAGGAGGCGGCGGCGGAGGGTCGGATGCTCCTGATCACGAGATCTCAGTTTCATCGGGGAGTCGCCGCCATGTCCCCTGTGATCCACTTGGCAGACGAGGAGGTGGATGAAGTTTTCAATGCCGTTGATGTCTTGAAGCAAGGTCAAGCCCTTGACTCAACTTCCTTGCCCCCACCTTCTTCCCCTTTCCCTCCTCTCCTCGTCGTCTCCTCTTGACTCCCTCCCTCCTTCCTTCCCTCCCTCCCTCCCTCCTTCCCCCTCCCTCCCTCCCTCCCTCCTTCCCTGCCTCCCCTCCTTCCCTGCCTCCCCTCCTTCCCTGCCTCCCTCCTCCCCTGCCTCCCTCCTTCCCTGCCTCCCTCCCTTCCTCTGTTCTTCCCCATTACGCTGTACCCGTTCTCCTCGTCTCCCTCTCCTTTTCTCGCTTTCTCCCGCATTTCTCCCGACCTCTTCCTCCCAGTCCGTTTCTCTTCTGTTCTCCGCATCTGCCGACTGATCAGCCCAACAGGTTCTATAAGACTCTCAGCTATCAAGGACATGCTCCAGGGTGAGCGGGTGACAAGACTCATCGAGTCCTTCGACAAGCAAGGTCCTCTTCCTGCTCTCCCTCCCTTCACCTCCTCTCTCCCTCCCTTTTCCACCAGCTCTCTTCCTTCTCCTTCTCTTCCTCACTTCTCCCCCCTTCCTCCCTCCTCCCTGCTCCTTTCCTCTCCTTCTTCTCCGCGATTTACCGGTTGCTCCACCAGTGACTCCTCGAGCGAGACTGTCGGAGAGCGTCTTCCACAAGCTCGCGGAGTCCAGCGTGAGGGGATCGACGTCAGGAGCGAAGGAGCAAGAGTATGCCAAGAAGAAAGACGTACGATACCTTATTCTCCCTCGACCTGCTTCTGACATTCTTCATTCCTTCCCTCCTCCTGCTCCTGCTCCTGCTCCTGCTCCTGCTCCTGCTCCTGCTCCTGCTCCTGCTCCTGCTCCTGCTCCTCCTGCTCCCTGCTCCATCTCCTCCTCCCCACCGTCCTCCCTCCCCCGTTCTGTTTACCCTCCTCCTCCCTCTTCCTCCTCCTTTTCGTTATTTCCTTTTCCTGCTTCTCCTCCTTCTCCTCCTTGTCCCTTTCCTGTTTACCCTCCTCCTCCTCCCTCTTCTCCTCCACTCCTCGTTGCCTCTTTCCCATTCTCTCAATCCTCTCCTCCGCTACCCCTTCCCTTCCTCTAGCCTACTGTCTTCGACGAAGGATACTTTCATCACGTTCCTTCCAAGTCTTCAGCTCCTCCCCACCACAAGTTCCACGTGCGATCTATGGGAGAGATGATGGACTTCAACGGCAGGTCAAGACACTTCTTGTCTCTCCTCTCTCCTCTCCTCTCTCCACTCCTATCTC